GCGCGACATTCAGTATACATTGAAGCCTTGGTCGCTCGAGAGATTGGCCCGGACAACGCAGCATCTCGGACTGCGTTGGCATTCGTAGCCAGTCTACCTGCGGGGCGACCTTTTACGACATTTTGGGTACCTCCCGACCAAAAAGGGAATACTCCAGATGACGAGTGTAAGCCGACTGTCTCCTAGGGTGCATTTTGCTCTTCAGTACCTTTACCAGCAACTTCTTTCATATCGAGAACGTAGTTTCTGTCCTGTTGGCTAAGAGTATTCAGAAGCTACCTCCGGTGACTAATGCTGACAGTTGTGCGTTGGTGCATTATGACAACGACGTGAGCCCAAACTTCCACTACTACGAAGCCGAAGGCACTGCCTTACACATACATGACATAATTGCATCAGCACATTCATGGATAATGCAGAGCACACAACCTCAAGCGGGCTTCGGCCAATACATGACGAGGTTCGAAGAACTGGCCGACGTCTCGCGGGTGTCTCGCGGGCGTTCCGTCGGTGTCCCGTAGTGTTTTGTGCTCTATGCTATGCTAGTGCGCGTGCTGCGCGACGCGACGCCTTACTATGGTATGCGATGTTATGGTCTGCGATGTTGTGCGATGCGATGCTATGCTATGCTATGCTATGCGGTGGTGTGCTATGCGAGGGTGTCCCGTGGCGCGGGGGTGTCCCGTGGTGTTCCGTGGTGTTCCGTGGCGTGGGGATTGTCCGTGCTATGCTATACGATGCAGTGCTATCGATTGTGAGATCGATCGTGGGATCGATCGTGGGAGATGCTGACCCCGATCGCGTGGCTGATCGTGCATGTCGATTGTGAAAACAATGGTTATATATCGATCGGTAGCGACATCGATAAAATGAAGGATATAGATAATGATGTATATATATATATATATATCATGCGATCGAATGGTAGGTCGGTCGTGAGATACATCGTGATATCGACAGTTGGGTAGAGACCCAAAGCGACAGTGATATCGCTGGATCAAGCGATAGTGAGATCACAAGCGATGCCGGTGGTGCGCCCGATAGGTAGGGACGTCGAAACATAGCGGGGGACCGATCGTGAAATCGATAGTGGGAGCGTTTGCGGGGTCGGTATATAGTGAGATCGATAGTGGTTCCCCGGGGTGTCCTGCAGTTTCTCGCGGTGCCTTGTGATTTCGAATGTTCTGCGTCTGTGCATCTCAGAGAAGCGCGCGGGCCAACGATTGCCGCCTGGTGTTGCCGGTTGCCCAGGTGATTCCCGCTGGGTGCCTCGTTTGGTTCCAGTGGGGTCCCGCGGTGCCCCGTGAAATCGATGGTGCGATCGATAGCGAGGTCCCTTGTGAGATCGGTAGACTATGTGGTCGATCGATAAAAAGGGAGCTCTTTTGTGAGATCGATGACGTGGTCGATTTGGATATCGATTGTGAAACCGATACTTTGAATTACAGGTAGACTGACAGCGAGATCTATCGCGATATCGTTCGATGAGTAGACAGGGCGCTCCATATTGATATCGCTAGTGAGATCGATGGTGGGATCGATGGATGGCGAGTTCTGTAGACAGAACGAGGGCACGAGCGAGACCGATAGTAGCATCGGTCGGAACATCGATCTGTCGCCAGCTTGCACGCGCATTGCCGGCGTCGCCGCCGTCGCAACAAACGCAGCAGTCATTCGTAGGTGTCCCGATGCTGCTCCGATGCGCTTTGGCCCTCCGCTCGCTCGGGCGGGCGGGCGGGCGCCGCGGCGGTTGAAGCGCGTGTTTTGGAGCGCCGCGCCAACGACTTCTCGCGGCGCGCCGTGCGCGGCGACAGTGCATCCACGCTGTCGCAGCGGGAAAAGTGGATGCCATGAAGGCGTGCGAGGCGCGCCCCCGTCGGAGTTCTTCCTTCGCCCGGCGCGCTGGGCAGTCGCTTCGGCCCTGCCGTTGGCGGACGTGCCTGGCGTCGACGCAGGGTGCCGGGCTCTGCCGGTGCGCGCCCCGGCGCGACGCCAGACGCTGGCGCGCGCGCCTCGGCCTGCGCACGGGCGTCTGCGCGCGCGCGGCGGGGAGTGTGGCCCGCGGCGGATCGGTCGCGAGAAATGGGGCTCCAACCGAGCGATGGGCGCAACGAGCTAGCTCTAGCCGCCCAGGGGTCCGCAGTTTTTCGCGCCGAGCCGCGCAGAGTTCAGCGGGGGCCCCAGGGGCCCGAAAGGAGCGACCACAGCATGGGCGAGCCGTGAGGTTGTCCTTGGGGTGCGCACGAAGGTCGCGCCGGGCTCCGCCGGCGCGTCGGGCGCCGCCGCCAGCTCGGGGGTCGGGACTGCCCCTTCCGCAGGGGGGCGGCGCTGAGCGTGCGGGGCGCGGGGTGGGGCGGCGGAGTTGCCGGCGCGCGCGGGGAGGGGGTGGCGGCTGGGCGGGGAAGGACTGCGCGGCCAGCGGCGCTTGGCTGAACCCTTTCGGGCTGATCTGCCGACCGATCGCTGGGGCGGCCGGGGCGACGTGGCCGGGCCGCCGCGGCTCAGTCGGGCGAGCTGCCCGTCGCCGTCGCCGCCGCAGACGAACGTCGCCGAGGCGCTCTCCGACGGAGAGCTCATGCGGGGGCGACGATCTGAGGCGCTGCGCGCTCGGGGGGCTGGCGATTCCTCTCGCCCGGGCAGGCGGCGGGCGGCGGGGTCGCGTGCCCGATGACTTTCTTTTCTGGGCCGGCGCCGGCGCCTGCGGCGGCGGGTGGCGGCGGCGGGGTGCGTCGACGAGGACGACGGCGACGACGACGATGACGACGACGACGCTCTGCCACCGTGCTTTGGTTTTGGGCCAGAGTCCCAATGGATGCCTCTTGGGGTCTCGTCGGACGGCTCTCGGGGGCCTCTGAAGGGCATGTGTGAAGCCTCCTGGGCGCCTCTTGGGCGTCTTGGGGCCTCTCCGAGGTGGTGGTGGTGGTGGTGGGCTCTGGTGGTGGTAGTGGTTGCGGTGCTGGTGGTGGTGGTTGTTGCGATGGTGGTGGTGGCGGTGGTGGTGTGGTGGTTGGTGGTGGTGGTGGTGGCGGTTGTTGTGGTGGTGGGTTAAGGTGATGGTTGTGGTGGTGTAGGTGGTGGTGTGGTGGTTTGTTGTGGTGGTTTGTTGTGGTGGTAGTGATTGTGGTGGTTGTGGGTTGTGGTGGTGGTGGCGGTGGTGGTGGTGGTAGTGGCGGTTTGCTGTGGTGGTGGTGGTTGTGGTGGTGGGTGATGGTGGTGGTGGTGCTGGTGGTGTGGTGGTGGTGGTGGGTTGTGGAGGTGGTGCTGGTGGCAGTGGTGGTGGTTGAGGCGGTGGTGGTGTGGTGGTTTGTTGTGGTGGTGGTGGTTGTGGTGGTGGTGGTGGTTTGGTGGTGATGTGGTGGTGGTTTGTGGTGGTGGTGGTGGTGGTGGGTTGTGGTGGTGGTGGTGGCTGTGGAGGTGGAGTTGGTGCTGGTGGTGCTGGTGGTGGAAGGGTGGTTGTGGTGTAGTGGTTTGTGGTGGTGGTGGTGGGCTGTGCTGCTGGTAGTGGTGGTGGTGGTGGTGGTGGTGGTTGTGGGGGTGGTGGTGGTGGTGTGGTAGATTGTGGTGGTGGTGGTGGTTGTGGTGTTAGTGGTGGTTTGGGTTGTTGTGGTGGTGGTGGTGAGTTGTTGTGGTTGTGGTGGTGGTGGTTGCTGTGGTGGTGGTGGTTGTGGTGGTGGTGGTGGTGGGTTGAGGTGGTGGTGGTAATAGTAGTGGTGGTGGTGGTGGCGTGGTGGTTTGTGGTGGTGTCGGTGGTGGTGGACTGTGGTGTTGGTGGTGGTGGTGGTGCTGCTGGTAGTGGTTGTGGTGGTGGTGGGTGTTGGGTGGTGGGTGGTGGGTGGTGGGTGGAGGGTGGTGGTGGTGGTGGTGTGGTGGTTTGTGGTGGTGGTTGGTTGTAGTGATGTGGTGGTGGCGGTGGTGGTGATGGCGGTGGTAATGGTGTTGTGGTTTGTGGTGGTAGTGGTGGTGGTTGTGGTGTGGTGGTGGTTTGTGGTGGTGCTGTTTTTTTGGTGGCGTTCTTGGTGTTGGTTGTGTAGGTGTTTGTTGTGATAATGGTGGGTTGTTGTGGTTGTGGTGGTGGTGGTGGTGGCGGTGGTGGTGGTTGCGGTGGTGGTGGTGGTGTGGTGGTTAGTGGTGGTGGTGGTGGTGGTGTGGGTTTCGGCTCTGGCTTTGGGTCAGAGTTCTAATGGATGCCTCTTGAGGTCTCGTCAGATGGGTCTCGGGGGCGTCTGAGGTGGACCTTCCCATGGGCCTCTCGGTGACTTTTGGGGGGCGAGGGCTTGATGTGGCGATTTGTGTGTGTTCCCTCTGCGGCCTCTGTGCCCTCTCTGGTCATGGTCGCTGCGTTCCCGCCGTCGGCGCCGCTGGTCGCCGCCAGTGCCGGCGCCGGCGCCGGGGGGGGGGAGGTTGGACCCCTCCCTCCCCCCTGGGCCCTCTCTGGTCATCGTCGCTGCATCCCCGCCGTCGGCGCTGCTGGCGGCCGCCAGCGCCGGCGCCGCGCCGACGCCGGTGGGGGGGCGGGGGTTGGACACCACCCTTGGGAGGGGGGGGGGCTTCGGGAGGGGGAGCAAGGAGGGAGGGGAGTCCCCCTGGTTCTGATCGACGGCGCCGGGTGTTGGGGGGGCGCTGCCCGGTTTGACACGCGCCCCCGAATGTTCACAAGGCAAGCGCCCGTGAAACGCGCACGCTCTCTCTCTGTCTCTCTTTCTCTTTCTCTTTCTCTCTCTCTCTCTCTCTCTCTCTTTTTGTTTTCTCTTTCTCTCTCTCTCTCTCTCTCTCTCTCTCTCTTTCTCTCCCTCATATTTAATTATATATACAACTATAAAAATAATATATATATATATATATATATATATATATCCGAGAAGGAAGAAGGGAGAAAGGGAGAGGGCGGGGCGCGAGAGGGAGGGACGGACGGAAAGAGCGGGAGTTTAGGGTATAGGTTGGAATGGGAGGAAGGGGGTGGTAGGGGGGTGAGGGGGTGGGGCGGGTGGGAGTGCAAGAGAGGGCTAGGTAGGTGAAGGGGACGTGGGTACGAGGGATCGGGACATTGCAGTGGGGGCGCGCATCAAGAAATCATGTGCTTTTCGTCGGGGCGTCCTGGTTTTTTTTGGCTCCGCGAGCTGCGCGGTAACTTCCCGCAGCCGTTGAAGAAACTGCTGCGTTCAGGGTGCTGTGGGCTTCCCCTCAGGTGCACCTCGCGCGCGGGTTTTCATGGTTGGGTTTCTTGCGAGGGTTTCTTGCGGCCGCGCCCGCATTGTTTGGGGAGGGGATTGGCGGGTCGGTCGCCGGCACGAGGAGGAATCGGGCGGGCGCCTCTGTTTTGCCGCCCTCGCCGTGCACTACACGGGCACGCTGAAGGAAGGGGGCGCCAAGTTCGACTCCTCTGTGGACAAGGGTAGGCCCTTCGTCTTCAAGATCGGCATAGGCCCAGGGGGGACCACCTGCCCCCATCCCTCCATTCTCCTTGCTCCTCCTCCTCCTCCTCCTCCTCCTCCTCCTCCTCCTCCTCCATTCCTTTTTCCTTACAACTTCTACCTGTCGCACCCCGAGGGCAGGCCGTGCGTTTCGCATTCGAATTCCTTACTCTTGATGATTCCGACACTTCAAAATTCGCAACAGGTTCGCAGATGGACGACGGGTGGTTTTCAAAATGTGGCTCTCCTCCCAGCGCCGCGCACAATTGTTTTAAACTTTGCTGGGGTTTGACGGATTCAGGGCGGTTCCTGTTCGGACTGTGGTTCCCGCCATAGCGCAGCACATATTCGTTTTCAACATTTGAAAGAGTTTCACGGACTCCCATGGTGAGCGTACCAGGACAAATGTGTTTTCGAAAGGTTCACGATTATGCGGGTGCCGCAATTATGTTGGTTCGCGGTGTTGAAATTCCCCAGAGGGCGTTCTGGTACGATTTCGGATCGTCAAGTCACAGCAGTCAGGCTTATCCGTGGCGTTGAAATCCCGAGAACGATGTTTTGGCATGTTTCAAGGTCTTCAAGGGTGCCTTCCAACGAGGCACTTCCCTAAATGGAAATGAGTCGGTGTAGGGGCTTATGAAGGGGGAGCTTGGCTGGAGGGTTAATTCAAACATCGTTGATGATTCTTTGGTTTACACTGGTCCTCTTCCTCCTCCTCCAGATCCTCCTCCTCCATTATTCTTCCGTGTAGTTAATTATCCCCATCGCACCCCGAGGTAAGTTTTTAGGGCGTCCCAGGCGTTTCGCTGGAGACGTCCCTTGAATTCATGTCTTTGGAGCTTAAACATTGGCAACAGTTTCGCAGATGGAGGGCGGGTGGTTTTCAACATGTGGCTCTCGCCTCAGCGCCGCGCGCATTCGTTTTAAAAGTTTGCAAGAGTTCGGATTCGGGGGCAGGTGGTTTTCAAAGTGTGGCTCTCGCCCTAGCGCCGCGCACATTATTTCTGTAACATTTACAAGAGCTTCACGGAGTTAGGGCGGTTCTTTCAATTTGTGGTTCTCGCCATAGCGCCGCACACAGTCGTTTCGAAAAAAATGCAAGAGCTTCACGGATTGCGGGTGGTTTTCATAGTGCGGCTCTCGCCGCATAGCGGCGCGCACATTCGTTTTGTGAAGTTTGCAAGAGTTTCACGGATTGAGGGCGGTTCTTCTTCAACATGTGGCTCTCACCTTAACCCCGCGCACATTCGAGTATACGATTTGCAAGAGTTCCACGGATTCCCATGATCAGCGTACCAGAAGTTTTGGAAGGATTCTGGGTTATGAGCGAGCGAGCCACCATTGCGGACAAATGTCCAGGCCGACCTAGGACTTGGTGGGGAGGCCGTGGCCTCCAGAAACGTAATCGATGAGCTACACGCAATCATGCAAATGAGCAGCGAGACAATCAAACAGTTATGACGGACGCGGGGGAGGAGGGGGGGGAGGAAGTTCTCGATGTGGAAGTCGGCGTTCTGTCGTTACGTGGTGTGTATGTATTGCCGTTCGAATGTCGACCAAATGGAGATGTTTTGAGCCGTGCGGATCCAAGTAATATCGTTCGGCTGGCCTGTTGTAGTCGGCGTCGCCGTTGGATGTTGGTCATGGCTGCTTTGTTGGAGGAATTTGACGATGTCGTCTTCCCATTGCTTGCGCTGTCTGCCGTGCTGTCGCTGTCCGCGTTGGCGTGGATTCTCTGCCAGTTGCCAGTGGAGTGTGCGCCACGTCCATCTGAAGTGATTTTGGATTATGAGGGTGCAACAATTACTCTGGTTCGCGGCGTTGAAGTCCCAGGAAAGGCTTTCTGGCACGATTCAGGATCGTCAAGGCGCAGCAATCAGGTTTATCCGTGGCGTCAGAATCCCGATAACAATGTTTTGGCATGATTCAGGGTCCTCAATCGGTTGTCTTCCAACGGGGCAGCTCCTTCAGTGGAAATGAACCGTTGTAGGGGTCTGTGAAGAGGCAGCTTGGAGGGAGGGTGTATTCCAACATCGTCGATGACTCGTGGGTTTACACTGGCCCTCCTCCTCCGGCATTCCCTCGTCCG